GGCATGATTTTCAAAGTCTCAATTAACATACTAACGATCACCATCAATTAACATATAAAATTTCAAAAACAAACAAACATATGTTTAATTTAGTTCATAAGTAATATAAAATACATCAATGTATATATTAATTTAGTCGACATTAGTTAATACAAATTGCTTGGATTTATATTGTGGCGATATCTATAGGATTTTGTATATAAAATCTTTGTGATCGATACGTAATCATGAGATGGTTAGTAATTTGTTGTAAAATAAACGTTAGTTCCCTGAAGAATGCTTCTTAATTAATATATAAAGGATATTGGAGGAGAAGGATCAACAATAATTTCATCACTTACAAAACAGCCAAACGGAAGAATTGAAATGAGGCGAAGAAAGCTGCGTAATACAGAGGAAATGCTCTTGTGAAAGCTTATCACTCTCAATCTCACCTTAAGGTGTAAACTTACTTCTCTAGATAATAAAACCGGAGATAGATAAGGAGAAGAGAGAAAAAGTACATAGCAAAGGCCAATAGAGAGATCCAGAACGGGTAAGTTGATATCATATAGACCGGTAAGCCTATTATGAGGCCAACGATCACGAGAATAAGAGTTTCCATCGAGTAGCTCCATGTTAAGCCTCTCATGTATACAATTGCCAATATGATCGATATTCCCATGAGGTTATTCATTGTAACATCTTTGTAGATCTGTGGAAACCAATAAAAGTGCCCTTAAACTTTGAATTCACTTTATCTCTGCCTAGGTCTTATATATCGTGTAACGTGTTATCCAAGTAATAATTGTAATAGTTAAATAAGCTAACCTCGGAGAAGGTATTGGATGAGATTCTTTTCTTGTCTTTTCCACGACAGAAGCGTGTAGATAGAGTGTTCTTTAAGTTTCTAGCCAAAGGGAGTATAGCGAACACGATGTAGAAAGAGGGAACTCCAGCAGAGACAGATAAGAGCTCGATGTTCATCATAAATGGCTTTGCAAGAAAGAGAACAATTAGGATCCCGATGATGACTTCAATCGCAGCTCCTAACGTTTCCATTGCGAGCAATTTAGTAACAAGTGTTTGCTTCGGTACTTCTAGCTTTAGAACTCCCTCCTCCTCCTGCAATACATCATGTATTTTAACGGATGTTAGGAATATCCTACATATGTTTGATAAGCCATAGATAAATGTTA